GATGTACTAGGTCCCAGAATGTCCCATTGAGAGTGGAATTTGCCTGGTATATGAAGGTCAACAAAGAAACTCAGGCCTCTTAAATAGAACCGCTCACTGTTAAAAGAAGAGCTTATCATACATCAATCTAGTTCTGGAGATGGAAGCTGACAATGCATAGTTCTGCAGAGATTAACAAGGAAAGCAAAGATACCTTTAAAAATGCTGGATACATCCTATTCTTGCTATTTAGGTATTCAACATGCTAAGTCAATTTAAAAATGTCATCATAGGTCACCTTTAAGATTACATCCTTCATCTGAATTATGTGTAACTCCCTGATGAAATGCATTGCAGTCAGTTAAAATTATAGTTGCATTTAATCTTTTTATGGATATTCTTTGGAGATTAGCTAATGGTTACTTAAGTCAGCTCTAATTTTCAAAAATGTCTGTGCTATACAGATAGCCATTTGTTTTTACCTACCTCAGAAAAGAGCACCATATGTGAAAGTCAGTGAAGTTTGGTTTCTGTTTTATGTGTTTTCAGTCTATTGAATATAAAGACAAAATTTAAGAGAACTATACACAAACCTGCTTTGATTTCTGTGAATTTAGCATTGAAGCTTCAAGACTAAAAAATGTGTATGTGATCTCGATTTAGATCTGTCCCTTGAGATAGTGTGAAACTGTCTATCAACAAGAATACATCAATATAGGAGGATTAACTGTTCAGATGCAGTCTGAACATCAAAGTGTTCATATGAAGTCGTTGAAAATGAGTAATTTGTTTTATCATTCTCAGAAAACATAGAACACCCTTTTTCAAAGTAAATCGTCTTTATTTTAAAAACATGAAGATTAATAGCACTCACTCTATGGAGGAGTCTGCTGTTAAGTAAAATACTATGAATACAGCTTTACTCAGTACGATTGGTGTTTCTTCCTCTTATCAGTTCCATCAGTACCTTCTGTTCCCTGTTAAATAACGAGCAGACAGATGCGATTGCTCTCTTTAGGATTATTTGTATGCATTATGGCATATAGCTTTCCTGTTTCTTGGAAAAAAGTTAACAGTACTTAAATGCCCTCTGTGTCAGGTGCTTCCAACATCCTTTTTCACATTTTATCTTGTGTGTCTAAATCCATCTCTCTTAATAGAATAGAGTGTAGTCATTAATGATACAAGCGTGGCATTTGATCCATGTTGTAGAGGTTGCTGTGCATTTCACTAAATTACCAGACCAATTTCTGTGGGGCAGCTAAAAGCTTTTCCATCATCTTTCCCTCACATTTTTCAACATACTATTTTCCTTCCTTCTTCTTTATTGACGTTTCCCTAGGGAACTTTTGCTTTTTATTTTTTTTGTACATCACCACAATTTTCTTGGTTGGTTTTATGAAAAGAGAATACATTTCTGTCTCTGAATATACTAGTGTATATTGTCCTATTCAAATCACTTCACAAACTGCTCAGAAAACTTAAGACAATTTTAGAATGTAATAGCAACCAAATTACAACAATGACCCAAATATAAAGCTTAAGGAAGAGTGTATGTTACAGGATAGGCAAATGTTTTGTTTCCTATTCATTCATTTGGTCAGATTCCAGCCATTCAAAGCTCAGAGACTTCCGGATGGAGATGTAGTTTCTATGCATTTGGAATCCTTTCCTGAGGTTTCTCATTCATGAACTGACCCGAATTCTGCTTAAACTGTGTGACTTGTGATTTTAAGCAAATTGGTCATTTCTCCCCTCAGGCATCTGTTGTCTTTTCTGAAGAGTCCTGCTTCATTGAATGATTGTATTTAGTCATTCCTCATGTGAAAGAAGCATTCCATGGCTTTGGTTGATCTTCTTGCCCTTCTCTGAGCTTTCCCCATTCTAACTGTTCCTCTTCATATGAGCTTCCCACTGCTGCACTCAGTAGGCAAGATGCAAACTTGCTGTGGAGTCATACTTCTGAGTAGTTGTGTTCTCTGGCTTGGTTTTTTCCTTTCCTAATTATGTCCTGTGTGAGGACATTTTCTAATTTTTATTGAGCACTGAATTAGCAGATTCTTGGAACTGCATGTTGTTTACCTCATGATCTCATTCCTGCTCAGTAATTGTTAGCTCAGAAACCGTCATTTTGTGTGTGAAGTTAGGATTACATTTCATGAAGCCAAAAAAACTATCAGAAATCCAAGAAGCCTATATCAACCCTTATCCACATGCTTTTTGATAAGACGCAGAAACTAAGGACTGAGTATGCATATAACCCAAAGGTTGGTCTTCTGCTTTCAAGAACATTCAATAACGTAACAATAGCTTTAAACGACACAAGCTAAGGCACAGCTAAAATTTTTCACAAGTAGTATGTGACATAGATAGGATATGTTTAGGAGATACTTGGAGATTAGAAATGATGAGCACCTTCCTTCATTTACAGTGTGTGTTGATATGAGGTCTTGTCACTGGAATTTACAGAAAGAATTGGCAAATGGGATGGCTTAAGGTGTGGGCATACACTTAGGACCTGAGTTCCTTTTATGATGAGAACAGATTACAGGTCTTTTTTAAAAAAAAAATAAATCTTTGTAGTTGGAAAACTGCTATAACTTGAATATACTTTATAGCATCATGAGAAGCCACGATGTTAAATTTGTCTTGTGTCCCCTACAACTTTATTTCAATTCTTTATGACATCTCAAATGTCTGTTTTCCAGCAGTTCACTCCTTCAGCAAATGTGTTAGGTAATATATACCATAAGCTTAAAGTAGTTATAGTTTAATTTGGTGCTGGACCAAGAAAAGAGGTGGTGTTTTGTTACAATTCTTGTATTGTTTCCTGCGAGGAAGGAGTTTATTTCTGAAGGGGTGGGAGAGTTTTTGCTCTTCAGAATCAAAAACTTGATGGGCATGTATCTGTATGATAGCAGGATGACTGCTGAATGTTGTGAATCAATATTTTGACCCACATATAGTTAAGTTTGCATTTAATGAGACCAGGTGTAGATTTGATTGCTTAGAGTCTATTGTCTCTCATATATTTCTCAGCCTTAGAAGCATGCATGCAGACCAGGGGCTACTCAGGAAAGAAGCAGCAAACATTACAATTCATCATAAATTAATGTAGTGGAAAATCAATGCTTTGATGAACATAAGGCCACTGTAAATGAAGCATGAAATATGAATGACTACTGCTTTACTGTGGTAAACGTGAAATGGTTGATACTTAGAAGAGGGAAACATTAGTGAGTGATAGATACCTCTAGGCAATTGTATTTTGAAGTTGAGAGGTATAGTAACATTTGGAAAAAAAAAATGTATTTTATAGCTATAAAAAATTCTATGCTATAATCTGTGAAAAACACTGTAAACACTATATGTAGGCCTCCTGCCTGACTGCACGCTGGAAATATGAAGAAGAATCCATTTTATACATTCATTATTAATGTATATCTACAAGTTCTATAATTCTTTTCTGGTAAACAACCATATATGTTACAGGAAAAATAATACTTTTCTCCTAATAAATCTTTGTAGATGATTTTTGTAAGTTTTTATTTATATATATATATAAATATATATATATAAATATATATATATAAAAGGCTTGATAGCAAATTAAATTGCACATTAAAATACAAGATTTCTTATGATGATAAATTTTAGTTTGGTCTAACTACAGCTAGCCAAATGCAAAATCTACTAACACCTCATGCAGCTGTTGAGACAGAATGCACTATTTTCTTGTTACAAGTTAATAAACTATTAGTTCTGACTGAATTTTGCAAAACTGATTGGGCCTACTTTCTTCTCTGGAGATCAGCCCAAGTATGCACCTTCCTGTCATTACAGGATTTTGTCAGTATTTGTCATCATCAGATGTCAACCTTGCAATTAAGGACTTGTTCGTACTGAGTGTCCTCAGTGCTTCCCACAGCAGGAAGTGGTTTACTTGTCTTCCAGGCATATCTCTGTATATGCAGTCTTACATAATTCCTGTACTATTTTTAAAATTAAGATTTTAAATCTAATGAAATTAATGCTTTAGTATAAAAGAAAAGCTCTGTGTGTTTTAGCGTTATACCTAGATTATCTCCACCTTATTTTCCACATTTCTATTCTATTCTCATTTCTATTTTCTTGTTCTCACTAAATGACTAAGGCATCTTTGTTTTACTCTGTTTCACTTTTGACAACTCTTCCTCTGTTTCCTCAAATGTAAAATATCCTTGCTGGGCAATCCTTTTTCCCTCATTTTTTACGCTCTCCACATACTATTCCTCTCAAAGCAGCCAGTTTCAAGAGCTTCTTGGTCAACCATCTGTCAAAATTCTTTCCTCTTACCTGTGGTGACAATGTTCTTATTCTTCAAGCACCATTGACTGGAATGTTTTCCTGCTTCATTGTACGTTGTGTGAAGAGCAGAAGTTATTCAGAAAAAAAGAGCCATATTTGAAACTTCATCTTAAGTAAGATAAGCCAGGAGTATATCTGTTTTTTCTCCAGTTTTCTTCCATTCCCAGTGCAGAAAGAATTTAGCAGTGGGATGAGAGCAAGGTAATTGTTAATTGTTAACCAGGTGATTGTTTTATAGGAATAGATCCTAATATCATTGTCTGCCAGTACAGGTTTTTTCCTAATTAAACTAAATAATTGGAGAAGCAGAGAAATCACTGTCTCATGTTCGCTAGCCCATTTGGTCTATTGGGCCTGAGTATTGGTTTGAGGTTCAGTTTTGTGAGGTGCAAATGAATCCCATTTGGTCTGAAACTTGATCTTCATTTTTAATAGGAAGCGTATTTCTTACAACCTTAAAAACAATGTTAGGAATTTTTAGGAAAGAAACATGCAACAAGACAGACAACATGATTGCTTCTAAATTGATGGTGTATCAGACATAAGAATGATCAAAGGCATGAAACTTCAACCGTATGAGGAAAAACTGTATGACGCTTCGATTTCTTCTTTTCTTTCTTTTTTTTTTGTTTGTTTGTTTGTTTTGATGTTTTCTCTTGTGTTCTCTTCATTAGAGTACTCGAGTTGCTTTAGACCATCTGGAGTCTGTTCCTGAGAAACTAAGCCTGTTAGAAGATTTCAAAGATACTGGAGTGAGAAATATTTTACTTAACTCTTTTTCAATAGTTCTAAATTATTTTGGTTAATTAATGTCCCCCCCATATGTATAGATAAATGAGTTAATTAGATATATAAAATTACATATGACAAAAACATACAGTAAGACTTTGTTGTTGTTGTTAATATAGCTTTATTGATGTCATTAATTTAGTCCTAGTTAGTACCACTGCTGGGGTGTTCCATATGGTAAGCAAACATTGAGCATTGAGTGTAAAAAGTCAGGGCCTAACTCAGAGTATGTGTGTTGAGTGTTGAATTCTGATATTAATTGTTTAACATTCAAAATACTGTAATAAAATAAATTCTACCAGTTTTTTCAGCATTTAAAGTAATGAGTGAAAATAGATGAGCTTTACAGATGCTTTTTTTAATTATCATTTTTAAACATAATTTTTGTTTACAAATGTCAGATCTGCTCTCTTAGTATCACTGTCAGTGGAACTTATTGACAGTAGCAGTGAGGTACTGTCATATAGTCTTAAATTAGGTAGTGGCTGAGTGGCTTAACCACTGCATTATCATTGCTTCCCATGAATGAAGTCAGTAGTTTACTAAAAGAGAATTTGGGTTCTCATTGGACAAAATAAATTTTAAATCAGTATTAAATCATAGATAAAAACATAACATTTTGCATTTCATTTGCTGTGCAGAGTTTCTCCTCCTCATATATTCACAAACCTTTCAAAACATTTGTTTGGAGCATTGTTTATTCAAAATGTTCTTGCATGAGGTCATGTGTTAAGACCGAGCAGATTCAGACCTTGTTTTATGGTGTAAAAATAAACTTCAATTGGTATAACTTCAATTATATATTCATATATATATATATTCAATATGGTGTAAACTTCAATATGGTATAACTTCAATTTCATGTTTCCAAGTATCCCCAGAAGAGGTTGACATTTGTCTTCTGTTTCTGATGGTTCTGCTTTGCTGTAGGAAAAATTCTGCTCTAAGCTAGGCAGAAGCGTGAATGTGAAGTTCCTACGATCTCCTTCACAGTTTCACTCTTTACTTGAAGTTACTATGAAATTATGTTGTCATTTTCTAGTTTGCCTTAGTTTTCACTTAGCCAGCATTTATGAGAATGAAACCCAAATTCTCTGTTTTAAATTGAACTCTGTTCCTCTCCCATAAACTTTTAAGTTTTCTAAAAACTGCTTTCTTAACATGAGACCCTGCCAACAAGTGTATGTTGTTTAGTAAGTAATTTATCATTTATACATTTATTATTCAAGGAAAGTAGGCTTTATACCTTAGTTGTGAGAATTATGTCAGTTTTGAACTTCCATTAATTCTATTTGAAGTAATGCATTGGAATATTTTGTACAATAGGAAAAATGTTCTAGAGCCTGTTAAAAAGCTATATAACAATGTCCTATGGTAGTATGATACATATCTAGCATATTTTATTCTGAAGTGGTATGCATGAATGAAGTATTTCAAAGCCATTCATGGCTTTCCAGAGTTAGCAAGCTGTTTCATTTTTTTTTTTTTCCATTGGAAGTGTAAGGAAACAAAGTAAATCTTCATCTGAAAATGCCTCACAAGTTGTGGGGTAGCTGTATTCATTCAAGTGAATCCTTAGCTGCTTGTGAGAAGCATTATGTTTTCTTGTTCTGAAATATTGCTTTAGTCCATATCCTTGGACTTTTTTCTTGAAACATCTGTTTCTGAAGAATTGCAATTAATTTTTTTCCATTATACAATTCTTTGTTAGAAGCTATGTTAATAATAAATTTTAGAAAGAGTTACAAGATATCATTTACCAGTTAAGGATGAGGCATTAAAATGTTCACATTTTAATGTGCATTCATTTTAACATCATTTTAACATTCTGTTCTTCTGTACAGAACATCATGCTTTCATATGAGCCCTGTATTTCGGCCTCTAAAAGTTCGTGATTCATTTGTTCATTGCTGTATGGAAAACTCTGGGTGATACCTGTATATCAGGTATCATAGCCAGCCAACATTTACTAACCGTTTTTCACATTACAAAATCATTTAAACGTTTCAATACGTTTCTAGGAGTCTCACTGCCGAAGGGAAAAGATTGAGGAAAGGTATACAAAGTATAAAGAAATTGTGAGTTCTCTGCAGCAGCAGCTGGAAGATTCAAAACAAAGAATCCAACAATTCAAGGTATGTGTGTGTATTCCACTTTTGTTTTGTGATTACTTTCACTCAGCAGTCTGAGCTTACTTAAAGTAATATTATCTCGTAGTATTAACACAGACTAAGTCTTACATGAATGTTTCTTTGTTCTGGAATGGCAGAGTTTTATGTAGCTACTATGGCCGGTGTAAAATTTGGTGACAGAAGTGTCTTCATTACCAAGTGAAAATTCCCCCCCCCAAAAAAATCTTAAAAAATCCATGGAAAAGCTATCCTGTGTCTTACTATACTCTAGTGTTTACTTATGCTACTGCTTTGTCAAATTTCTTCTATGGAAATTTTTGGCTTGGTTTGTTCTCTTTTCCCTTGTCCTTTCACATAGAAGGTAAATACTGAAATCTGTTTCCAGCATTAAAGGGAATATTAATTTTTTAGATTGCATGTAATGATTTTTCACTAGTTCATTTTTGCATTCTTTACAAATGATCATGTCCATTTCATACATAAACAAAACTGAGGCAAACAGAGAAGTGATTTGCAAAACGTCACTCATCTGACTAATAGCAGGGTTAAGCTTAATTTCCTAACTCCCTGAAATACAAATCAAGGGCTCTTAATTTAGAACCATTGCCTGGAAAAAGTCCACCTTTCCAGTTGTTAACATGCTTTCTTTCTGTTCATATTAGCTTGTTCCTTATCACATTACTTCATATTACTGCGTGTCGTTATGATAGCACCTTACTTTAGGACAACTACATTTTCTTATGCTACAGAACTAGGCAGTGATTCAAATAAATGACCAGAACTGAAGAATTGTGCTAGTGTTTCTGCTACTGCAATGAATCAAGATTCATTGGCAATGTATTTTCAGGTGCGTCTCTAAGCAGCTGAGCTCAAAATCTAGGATCAAGCACCATTTTCAAAAAACTTCAAGCTGTTTGTGTTCCCCACCTCAGCAGCAGTATTTGATCTGTGAAATGTTGACCTACTTACCTTAGGTCTTCTAAAAACTAGAAAAGGTAAAACGAAGACAGTGCATTTTAGCTTATTAAGTTGCTGCTGTAAGAAGGTATTGAGCTACTTGAGATAGCCATGTTGTTCTTCAGTAGGAAAGGAAGAAACAGGGCAGATTCACTTTCAGACTATTGCTACTGATAATCTTCAATTTCTGGAATTTGTTTTGCCTTCACACAAGACTTACTAATTCAGTAGCCACTGAAATTTGGAAAATATTGAAAAATCTAAGTGGAATGTAATCAGCTGAGAGTTAGAATATAATATTGCACTAAGCTGACTGAGCTTACAAATCGTGTGATTTGAACTCTGTGTTCAGAATCCGTAAAAGGCTGATTTCAAAACAATATTTCCTCTTTCTTTAGACAAGAGGGAGCATTTAATGGCTTTCTTTTAGTCAGGCCTAATTGGGTTTTTGCATGACATACAGTCTTCTTTGCTGTCACAGCTGTTACAAATAGAACAGAATGTTCAAAAACAAGTAACAGACGGGTGCTAATCTGATTTCAGTGATCAGGCTGGCTTAGTCTAAAAAATCCCTTTTTAATGCTTGCCTTTCTTACCCTCCCTTGGAACTAACTGCATTGTTGTTTCATATTTTTAAAATGTTGATGATTTGTCAGTAAAGAGTCTCTAAAGTTGATTGGTAGAAGTGTATAGTCAAGGACATCAAAGTTCGTTCTTTCTGATGGTTTTGTTTCGTGCTCTATACACAATGTAGTGCTTCTGCTGTATAAAGCTGACAATATGTTTGGTAGATAAGAAAATAGATGTGTTAAGAAAAGGAGTTTTTGTAAAATACTTTACATTAATTCTACAACTAATTTATCCAAAATTGTTAAACTTTCTCATCAGATGCGATTTCTTCCTAACCTTTCTTGTAGCACACTTCATTCAGCTTGCTTGCAAGCACTAATCTCAGACAGATATTAACTAATCCCATGTCTTAGCCTCTTTCGTTTTAAGGAGCAAAAATGAAATCAACGTGAAAGTTCTCCTTAAAACAGTTATTAGTCTTCCTTATGATTTGTTTTGTCCCCCCTCAGTCTTTCCAGTTCGCTTTAGCCTTGTCAGGAGTCCATGAGAAATACCTTTTGCTTAGAAGCCTGGGAAAATCTTAATTGCTATTTGTATAGGTTAAAATGTAATATTTCCTCTAATAATGGGGGCCAGAGGCTGACAGTGATTTTCAACAAAGAAAGGATAGTAGCTAAAGAAGAAATTGGGGAAAAAGAAGGTAAACACAAACAATAATAATAAAATAAGTAATAGAGAATACCAAATAAAGCAAAATGAAAAAAAAAAGTGAGAAGAAACCTAAAGATAAACATTACAATTGATAGACTTAAATATTTTAGGACAGTTTCCCTGCTACAAACATCTGACCAACAACTATCAAGGGGGAATGGCTTTAAACTAAAAAAGGGTAAATTTAGATTAGACATTAGGAACGTGTTGTTTACTCAGAGTGTGGTGATGCACTGGCACAGGCTGCCCAGAGAAGCTGTGCATGCCACATCCCTGGAGGTGTTCAAGACAAGATTGGATGGGGCCCTCGGCAACCTGATCTAGTGGGAGGTGTCCCTGCCAATGGCAGGGGATTGGAACTAGGTGATATTGAAGGTCCGTTCCAACATAAACCATTCTATGATCTAGTCAAACATACCTAAAAGTAAATAAAATATGTGAGCTAAGGTACGTTATGAAAGTTGAAATTTCTGTAATGAGAAAGGCATTGTGTATTGTGGATGCTGGTAGAAGTGCCATTTTTTCTTTTCTCTTTTTTTTTTTTTTTTAAAAAAAAAAAGCTTTTCTCTAACATAGCATTTCTGGAAGCAGAATGAAAATACTAACTTTTTTTTTTTATTCTTTTGAAGTTGTTATTGTATTATGTACATTTTAGGTATTAAGTCTCTCATCAGCACATAAGGGGATTAATATGTATAATTCCCATTAGTCTAAATAGAAGTAAATCCCTCTTCATCGATGGGACAAAAGCTCATTGTATCTCTAAATTAATGTTGAATTTTTATTTTGTTTTCTGTTTGGTTTTCAAATCTTAGTATCAGTATGATAATAAATTGCAAGATGTTTTACCAAAATTCTCCAAGGGTGTTTATGATAAGAATTCAGTAGCAAAATGGCATGTTTTATGTACTGATGCATTTGTGCATTATTATGTCTTCTCATTTCAAGAAACTGAGTAATTTGGATACCAAGCCAAGCTTTTAATCTTATTTTGGAAGATAATGGAACTGTGGACTGCTTGCTATATTGTTGATAAAGATTTACAGAGATTTTTGTTTAAATAGCATTTTTAAAATTATCTTCTTTTTCTAGCTTATAAACCAAACGACTTTGCTTACCAAAAAGCTATGTTGTATGGGTCTAGATGTAAATACTAATATTGTGATTCAAACTACATTCAATGGCTAAAAGAAAATAATGAAAAAAACATCTTGAGGTATTTTGTTATGAAAAATCAATGAAGTTAGTTTCTTCAGTGGTGGGCAAAATGTTTAAGTTTTGTTATTACTTACTTGTTGAACTTCAGTAAATTAATGTAGACAGTTCATTGATGAAAAATTCATTATTTCCTGATGTTTGCCATGCCAATATGCCCTGCACTGTGGATGTTATGTAAATAGAGAAGAGAATGTTCTTGCAACTTATTATAGTAACAAAGACTTGCAGTACTCCCAATGCTCTTCTCAAGGCAAAGCAGTTTGTGCTAAGATTTTGTAGTGATGGAGCAGGCATGAAATTCATGAGCAAATTAATTTGATCCTAACTGCAATACTTAGTCTGAGAATTCAAAACGGTATTTTCCAGGATGTGTGAAATCACAGCATATACCCATGTATTACTGTGTGCATTTTGTTAAAGATTACAGCTGTTTAATATAAAGAAGTTTATTTATTTTTATTTGGCTTCCATAGGATGTCAAAATGGATGCTGACATTTCTGATATACAAGTCGCTGCTCCCTCTTCTAGTTGGCGAACTCAAAACAGTTTTTTGTCCACCTCACTGCTCTCAGAATCAGGTTGTAAGTATTGTTTCAGAGGAAAAAAAAATCACAAGTAATGTATTTCCTCTTTTAACGCTGTTTTACTTGAAAGAGCAAGACATTCTACTTTTTGACAAAAACTGCTAGAACCATCTTAAGAGGCCTGCTGGCCTGCTGTACTTGAGTATTAGATACCAGATGGGTGTCTTTGTTTAAGAAATACTTTACATCACAGTGATACTTTTTTTTTTAACTGGGTAATAAAATATTTTCTGTTTGTCATCCAAGCCTAGCCCAAAGAAATGGGCTGCACTTGGCACTTGTTTTCTGAATCTCTGCATGAACAATCATACACATGTAAGTTGTGTATCTTTTCAGGTTCCAAAGACACATCCTCATCCAAAAAGTTCTTTCCCACATCTTTCATTTGTACTGGTTAATCTTATGTTTTTGAAGCAGCTTAACAGTAAGAGTTGAATTCACTAATTCTGCTTGTACTTCAAAATTTGTTTTTAACTATTCTTTCCATCCCTTAGTGTACATATGACTTGGTCATAAAAGGTTACAGGATCTCTGATACAGATAGGAACTGCTCACTAAAAGATAGGACATACTAGATCTTTCTCAAGTAAAGGAACACCCTTCCGTGAGTGTCAGTAATGACTTAGGAAAAATTTCTTGAATATTTTTTTTTCAGCACACCAGATATCAGCACATGGATATGAAAAACTTTTCTTCAGAAAGATATCACCTTCCATTTATTTTCAGAATAACTAGTTTGCACTCTGGCAACCTTGTGAATCAACCAGTTACGTTCTATGTCATAGAAAGTCCTATTTCAAGCTTCACTGCACTTTCAAACCTCTTTGTCTTGGAATGAGTACACTACTGTACACTACTAATTATCAGCAATAAATCTTGAGTTGATCTGATGAGGTTAAAACTAATTGGTTTCTTTTCCTCTCAAAATCTGTAGGTTGTGATTAGTATCTTTTTGCGGAGTATGCTACATAATAAAAATAGCAACAAAGCATATGAGTGAAAGCCTCAGTCTCTTCTGTACTTCAGGAACAGTTTCCCCCAACTCAGAGTTGTTTTTCCATTTTCCTTAATATCATCCCTGTCAATGTCTACAGCTCAGCCTGGTGTGGGTATAGAAAAAAAAATACAAACCATACCTTAAAGGCAAGTTGGACTGTTAGAATAGGTCCAGAGGAGGACCATGAAGATAATCAAGGGGCTGGAGCACCTTTCCTACAAAGAAAGGCTGAGAAGCTGGGGCTGTTCAGCCTGAAGAAGAGGAGGCTCTAGGGTGACCTCATTGTGACTTTTTAGTACTTAAAGGGGGCTTTTAAAAAAGATAGAGAGTGACTTTTTGCCAAATCAGATAACAATAGGACAAAGGGGAATGGTTTTAAATTAAAGAAAGGAGATTTAGATTAGAGGTTAGGAGGAAATTCTTAATTCAGATGGTGAGGCACTGGAACAGGTTGCCCAAAGAAGCTTTGGTTGCCCCATCCCTGAAAGTGTTCAAGGTCATGTTGGATGAGGCCCTGGGCAACCTGATCTAGTGGGTGGCATCCCTGCCCATAGCAGGGTGGGTGGAATTAGATTTAAGGTCCCTTCCAACCCAAGCCATTCTATGATCACCAAGAGGTCCATTCTACCTCAGTGACTCCCTGATTCTGTAAACCCGCTGCAAAAACTTGCTGGATAAAGTTCCCCGATAATGTGCTATCATGTCCTTGCAATGTTTTTTCTAATGCGGTCAAATGAGGCGATTGTGGAATAGTGGTGTTAGAAAAGTAGACTTGATTTTTATATAGCTGATCAGTTAATGAGATAAATCGAATAATGGAAAATAATTTCCATTTCAACTGAAGCCATTCTATTCTGTTTTTAATACCAGCAAAATGCACTGAATTTGATAGAATAAATTGGTGGACTAGTTAAAGATGATCTTTGATAGTCTTTTCTAGATATCTTAGAGGTCTTTTCCAACCTGAATGATTCTATGATTCTATGAAATACGGTGACTTATAAATGCTAAAGGTGTGATCAGCCTCACAAAGGAGCAACATAATGTTGGTGGATTATAGTTTTGAAACTGAAACATTGCTGTTTGCATAAAAATATAATACCTTTCATAGGGGCTTCCTTGATACAGGAAAGATTATTATTATTATTATCAGGAACAGGAATGTTTCTTTGGGTTGAACACTGAAGTGTATGTAGTCAATTCATTACTATTATTTTGGTTAAATATTATTTTCTTTTAAACATTAAGAGTAATCACAATTACACACATTGCTTTTATAGCATTAGTTGGATTTAATGCTATGTTAGGAGCCTGATAGTAGGATTAAAACTTTCATTTATTTCAGTAGCTTATTCTGAGTAGTGGTAGTAAATATGAATCATTCTCTTTTATTCCTGTAGAAATGATGCTCTTATCAAACTCTGTCCTCTTAATGTTGCAGTACTTGATGGGCATTCTTAAAAAAGACATAAACTGAACAAGCCCTTGAAAGAGATATTTTCTAATATTTCTAATTTGTGGGAAGAAAGAGGAGAGGCCGAGGTACAGTAGAGTTTGTGTGTGGGGAACCAGAATACCAATCTGACAAACCATTTTTTTCTGTAATTCAACTGGGAGACGTTTTTGCCAACACTTAGCTTTCCAGAGGTAAAAAAATAAGGGATGAATGAAAGACAGTAGCGATTCAATATTGATCGTTCTGAAATATTTGCAAAGCCTTATGCATTTGAGGAAGGCTTTGTTTGAAACAGCATTCAGTCACGGCTAAGGGACTTTTTTCTTGTCTAAAACTTTCAGGAAGGTATTTTCCACATCACAAATGAAGCAGATGTTCATACACGTATTTCATATTTTCCAATATTTTCCAAATCCTAGAGTTGTGCTGAGAAAGGTGTTTGTTTTTTACTTTTTCCTATTCATTTTTAAGGGAAAGAAACTGGTTGTAAAAAAACAAAAACAAAACAAACAAAAAAAAAACAATAAAAATCTTTGGAGTTTTAGTTCCTTAATTGCATTCTATTACAAATCCATTTGTCAGATTTTCTGAGGCTAAAACAAGAAGTAGTCTTAAGATATTTTTTTTCTATTTCTGATTTTACATGTATTTGACTGTGATAGGATAAAGGTTTTTAATTTCTCACTTTGATCATTCTTTTCACCTAAGTGCTATTGTATATTTGTTGTGCTAAATTTGTAAGTAGGAGAGCAAGTCAGGTGCCTGTTGAAGATATCTCATGTATTTTATAAGTCCTGGTATATCCATCTAGCTGTCTTTGCAGGAAGGCATAGGTTTCCCATAAGTCCCATCACATCTTTTGAATCCCTTTGTGGATGTTTGTGATGCCTTAAGGCATTTGAATTAATCCATAGACATTGGTTAGTGACTGAATGTTTTATGCTGACCCTGTACTCCACCATTCAAATTTTAAAGTGTATTTTAAAGTTGTTGCAATAGTTCTTCAGTGAAGGTTCTGCAGCAGTATTAATGTCACAAGAAGCTTTTCTTGTAACTGGCACTGAGCAGCAAATGATAAAATCAGCTGCTTCACTCATCTTAGTCACGTAAATTCCATGAACTTTTAATTTCAGTGATGATATTAATTAGTTATAATTTGAGGCTTTGACAATGAAGTCTAATTTGAGGTCTTTTGCTTCTAACCTCCTGTAGCTTTTAATAAATCTACCTGTAAGTGTCATCACCTATTTGCTGTGACTAATTCATCTCCTTACTTCTTCAGAAACAGAAGAGTTTTGTTTTTTTTTTTTTTAATTCAATTTTCAGAGCAGTTTGCAAGCCTTTGTGATCTCTCTTAGACTCATAAAACCTCACAGATTATAGAGTCAATAGGTAGTATTAGGAAGTCTCTTCCCAATTTGTCTCATATAACTTGGAGAGAGCAGATGCATTTAATGTACTTTAAATCTCAGGGGAAACCTGAGATTTAAGTTCTAAATTGGTTGAAGAAAGGGGAGAAAATATGAAAGAATAATTAAGAGAAAAGACAGTCTGCATCCATTTAACATAAAGTTTCCAATCAGCACACAGGTGAAAGGAAAAGTAATTAGTACTCTGTTTTATGTCTGGTCTTCATGTTTATAGAAGAAGTTCTTAAAAAGCATGATATTTAACTGACATATTATAATTTATACAAGGAATTGTTCATTAGATATGGTTTGCAGTCTACGTTATTATCAGATCAAATGGTTAGTATAAAATTTTACTATTTGTTGTTATCTAAAGAATAACACTCAGAAATTGTTTTTCATGGCCACTGTGCTTTTCTTCAGTTTTACAGCACAAAGGTCCCAAGAGTTACAGATGCTTTACATGAGCTTTGTGAATTGGTTCCTCTCTCTCTTCGTACAGTTCATCACTTCAAGGTTTTAACATGGATCTTTTCCCAGCAGCCATATGGCTTTCTGGCTTTCTGGTGTTGTTGGGAATTTATGTTCCAGGGCTTCATAAGCTATGACTTTATGGAAAAGAAAATAGCCACCAGTTTTCCCAACTTCTGTATCTAGGATCACAGTCTTCTCTGACCCTTTGGACCTGGTGATAAACAACACTCTTGTTTAAACATGGTGTATAGTAGGAATGATATCATGGCTGAATAAAAACAAGTTGCTGTAAATGTTGATTTTTATTGTCATGACAATTAACTCCTGCAATGTATGCTGATGTCTCTCTTTATCCCTCTATGTATACTTTTTCATAAGCTCTTAAGACAATTTGAATTGACATTTATAACTAAGTAACTTAATTAAAATTAAGAAGACATAATGTCATAATACTGTGAGACGCCATTCTAGAACAAAACCTTCCAGTGTTGCACAATGGTAAGAACCTGGAATAACTGGAAACTGCAAAATGCAAATTCATTTAGAGTAGTAATTAATTTTGTATATGATTTTTCTTTTTTCTTTACTTTGAATACTGATCACAGGAGGTACTGTTGAAAGAGCATACAGTAGTATAGTTCCAAACAAATACTGAAAACTACGATGAAAAATGTTTACTCGTTGTTTTATTAATGTCCGGGGCACAATGGTGTTATTTTCTTCCTGGACATGGAAGCATACGACTCCTCCTAATTAAACTATAAGGACTATAAACTTGCTTCCTATTAAATAACTAACTTTTGGTTATATACAGCTATGGTTTTATGGGAGTATTCAGAAATAGCAATCCTGGTATTTATAATAAAGAATCAAGAAGAACCACTTTTCTTACATTCTTATAACATAACGGAAGAATGGTATATTGTAGAAATAGATATCTACTTTCTCCCCCTTAATTTCTGCTTTTTTCTAATAATTGATTGTTGTTTGGATATTTGGAATATTTTCCTCCGGCATTTTATGATAAGATGATACATCAATTCATATTGTCCAGGTTTTGATACAACGTATCGTATTTAAAAGTAAGCATTGTCTATTCACCCAGCTGTAAAAATATATATATCTACATGGTATGGCATCCTATGAGCACCTATGCAATGTCACTAGTTTACTTTATTCTATGCTATTGAATAAGGTATTTCCTCAGGAATTTTCTGAGTGGTTTGTCTTGCTTTATTTAAACAAAAATGCTAGAAAATTAGATGTTAGTGAAATTATTGAATTTCAGAAAATACAAAAGTTTGTTTCTCTGGCTCTGGCTAGAGCAACCTCTCCTATGAAGGCAGACTACAGGAGTTGGGACTGTTCAGCCTTTAGAAGAGAAGGCTCCAGGGAGACCTTCCAGTGGCCTTCCAGTGCCTAAAGGAGGCCTACAGGAAAGCTGGGGAGGGACTCTTTGTCAGAGAGTGGAGTGATAGGACATGGGGTAACAGCTTTTAAACTAAGAGGGTACATTTAGATCAGGTATTATGAAGAAATTCTTTAGTATGAAGGTGGTGAGGCACTGGAACAGGTTGCCCAGATAAGTTGTGGATGCCCCATCCATGGAAATGTCCAAGGCCAGGCTGGATGGGGCTTTGAGCAACCTGCTCTGGTGGGACCATGGCAGGGTGGTTGGATCAAGGTGATCTTTAAGGTCTGTTCTAACCCAGCTTTATTCTATTATTGAAAATAGCATTAAATTACGTTCCTCTAGAAAAATAAATCTGTTTCTTAATTCATACCATTATTAATATTGAATATTTATTAATATCATATTATTGCTTGTAAAGGATAATATTACATCATGAAACATATTTCAAATAAACATATACATGCTCAGACACCAGAATGTGTTTTTCTAAAGATGCTTAATTACCTTTTTTGTCTGACTCTTATTTTTAGCACATTTGAAAAGAATGGTTCCTTTTGATACAAGTGCCACCAAGGAAGATTCCATTAATGTTGCTGTCAATGAAATGAAGCTGCAAGCAGAAAGAGGGAAGCAGTAGAACATTGTACAAAAATGCAAAAGCTTTCTCTGTGGTAAATTCCATCCCACTTTCACTCTTTTTGAGCAGTAGTAATTTCATCTGCTGTAGGAGGATATACCCTTAATGACTGAGCAATTGCCAAACCATTAAGTGGAAGAGCCCCAAGAACAAGTCTAATGGGCTCCTGTTATAATTTATGTAACTTGTGCACCAAAGTTTTTTGGGGACTATGGTATCCTCTTGCATTTGTTTCTGCAGTCCTAAACTGATTTTATTGTATCCCTTAAATATTAAGAAATGAAAGAACTGTGATGTTAATCTTTGCTATGAGCGTATTTACCCCTACACAGGAATAGTGTGGATATTTGTTTTTGATAAGATTTAATAACACTATTAATAATCAAAAAAAATATTCAGAAATTACTTTGTCTTGATATTTATTAAAAGAGTCATTATGCACTGTTGTATAGACACATTTATGATTTCAGGTTCTTCAATTTTCAACAATCATTTAAGGAAAAAGCAATAAATATTGAACAAAAAGAAATTTCCTCAAAATCAGTGGAACTTGATATGATGATTTCAGGTTCAGCATATGTCACTTGTGTCACTCTTTAGTGCTATTCTTCTGATCAGAATAGATTTGGCAAATCTGACCTTGTGGAGCCTATGGTGAGGCATTTAACAGCACCAGCATTTCACCCATCTGTATGAAGCACATTGAAGGGCACTGCCATGTGGCTGTGAAAATTTTAATAACAATGTTTAACGATCACTTATTTATTCTGTTTTCTACTCTATTAGAAGAGACATCATACTGAATTTAAAATGTCATGAAAATACGATACTGTACCATTGCATTCATTTGGATGTCTCTATTTTAAACAGATAAGGTACAATTCTGCATTACTGTGATCTCAAACAGCACATTGCAGCAGAATCTTTTGCTGTCAGAAGAAATGCTAGTGTTTCTGATGGTCCTGGTTTTATTACCCTTCCTCAGTGCTTCTGGTTGAATCACTACTGATGTGCCTTAAAAATCCCTGCCAAATCTATCAGAGTACTGTAGCGACATGAACACCATTACAACAATTCTGGTTTGTATGCTTTTTCATACTTAAGAAGTGTTTCTCTGAAACAGTATATTTTTTAGCACTGTAGATGCTCAGGTCATTATGTGCCACCTGAAAATAGGATCTTTTTATCTTTTTAAGTTTCTGAAGTCCCACTTGACAGACAGAATGTATATGTATTCAGCCTGTTTCAAACAGAACTTCTTGCTGGGAACACTAAAATTGGACAAGAAAATTTTGAAGTAATTTTGCTTTTTTTTTTTTCTATACAACTTTTTTTTTTCTATCATAGTTTAAAACATTTTTTTTACCTTCTGTATGTGTATAATGCTATGCATTGTAGTGCTGGCATTGGCTTTTTGCAGACTTCTGGCACATCTGTTAATTCAGAAGGTCAGGAAAGCAAAACAGGCACATCCATCTTTTCTGATCTCAACAGCAATGACAAGGCCAGGACAAAAATAAAAACAAATAATCTATTTTGGAGAAGGCAAGACAAACAGAAACCTGTTTGTGTCATGGTCAACAAAGAGTGTGGAAGTCATGAAGCAGTGCTTAGCTCAGGCCACAGTTACCATAAACTAAACTTACTTTAAGTGTATCCAACATTTGTAATTTATTCTTTTTTTTTTAATTAGATCAGAGCACAGGTGGAAATAGAGTGTTTAAAATATTTTAACTGGTTTGGTGAAATATTAGAAAATTGCAAAATAAAATGTCACCAGCTTGCAGACTTTATGGCACCTAAAAATATGGCTAAAAATATAGAAAGGTAATATTAAAATATACTATACAACAGTAAATCATGCTCTCAAATTACATCATGTTCAAATGAGTCTGATGCATGGATTGCTGATGAATTAAGTGTATGCCCAACCCACTTTACTGAAGCTGAAATAGATTTTGAACTAAAGCACCTGTTGGTAAATGAATGGTGGTCTAAGAGTCTCAGATGAGAAGCAATATGAAAAATATCATCCTCTCTTTTCCTTAAGTAATTTGTAAAAAATCTGGATATTCATTGCTCTTACCATTTTATGTATTTATACATTCTTTCCTCACTTGTAACTCAGAAATCTGAATTTTTTTCTTAAAACTACTAATATCACTACTACTTTGTAGCATTTGACAACTACGGATAAGCATTCTGCACTCCCTCACTACTGCATAAAGTATTAAACCATTTTTTAACAAGGCAGGACAGAAATGACTGCTAGGTGAATAAATTCAGTATGTTCAGTGCTTAGTATATTTGCCTGTGGCTGTGTGACTGGGTTTACAGTAGAGTTTTCTTTCCTTTTTAAAATTTTCTAAAAGGAATAGAAGGGAAGAAACCAAACCACACAAACACACAGGCACATACGCACACACACAAAAAGAGGAATTTTTAATGAGGAAGCTTATAGTTTCCAAAGCCAGGAAATTGTTTCTTAAATTTATCCTCTTGGCCTGGCAATCCAGATATCATGTAATATTTGCCTCTCTTCCACCTTTGATAGAGGTTCATATTATGAAGGAATTTTGTTTCCTTTTTACTGAAGGCTAAAGTTCCATTCATGACATTATATGAAACTGTCCCTTTGTGGTTTAAGAAATAATATTTTTTCCATATTGGGCTGAAATAATATTCCTCTGACCAGTTGCAGTTTTTTAAAGTAGAAAACCAGATCATTTTTGTATAAAGCATATAGTATATTTCATATCTTAAAAAATTATTGTCCTTTCTGGTTATCAGAATTGATGTTAACCTGTTCCTTTGTTTTTGCCTAAAACAGTAATTTTCAATAATGAAAACATGGGGTAACCCCAACTAAATTGGTGTTTGATTTTTATTCCAGTCAGTATTTAGTAAATGATGTAACTTTGTATATATGTACTAATTAATGGATATGACAAGCTAATAGAAGGCATCTATGTTTTTAATGCTGTCCTGGAATACAGTGGTTCAATATAAGGCTTTCAGAAATGCATCAAATAATTATCACTACAGTAAACTTTACATTTTGTAATGTCTTTCAGTTTTTTAATGATGTACAGCAGACTTAAAAGTGCTTATTTTTAAGTACTTTTGAGAAGATAATTGCTAAATATTTAAAAGAATTTATTTTTATTATGTAATTGTTATCCTAAGAAAAAACTTCAAAATAAAAGTAGAAGGAGGCAGTGTTTGTCCCTTGTGGAGTGAAGTGGAGCAGGACTAAATTATGATATAAAACAAAGCATTTTTCTTACATGTCTCAAAATTTTCAGAGAAGCCAACGTTCAGTGATGGTGAAAGTACTCCTTAAATAATTAGACCTCAGCCACATTACTAGTCCTGTTTCAGCTATCTCACCAATATCAATAAAGAAGATAAAATTCCTTAGAACAAAGGAAATACTATTCTTATATTTTCTAAAGTCCATTTGTTTGAGCTAAGGAATTTGCATATCAGTTCATCTCTGGCTTACAAGGCATGGCATCTACACTGTATAGCACCGAATGGACTTTTCATGAATAAAAATGCTATTACAGTAAAGAACTGTGTATTTTTGTAATACAGATACCATTTTTATTGCTGCAAATCTGTAGTTTAAGACCTGAATACATTCTCATACCTATAATATTCAGAATTCATTCATTCTTAGACTTCTGTAGACTACATGTTACACTGAAATTTTACCATGGTTCTCTAAAACTGCATTACTAACAAATTTATATGTCTTTAAGCCCTACCCCACAGAAGTAATTGATACTGAAGTTAGTGAGAGCTGCAGGTCAGTATCTGGGGTTGCATATAGAGAAAACCTAGTAATACAAGGAATGGGAAGCAGCTTATGATTTAAATTTCAGAACACTTTTGTTCTTGGTGTTTTAATTTAAGAACTGCTTTAGCACTGGTATCTGCATCTATATAAAAGCAATCTTTAAGTAAGATCCCATCTCGGATGAATTATTTTCTTTACATATCAAAATATTTTCCACTCTAGCTCAACTCATGTCAACCTCTTACTGTAAGCATTAGGAGCTGTTAGGAGTTTTATTTCTTTACTATGTAAAGAACTAAATTAGATTTTAAATCTGAAAAACATATTAGTAGTGTATACAGAAGTACAGCAGGGCAGAATCTGATAACCTTGGTCTTTCAAAAATCTGAACATAATGCCTCTGGGAATGTTGACAACAAAAATGAAAGAGGTTACTGTGGTTAAAATAAAGCAACTTCCAGCATTTATCATTTGTACTAACAACAATAGCAGTCGTGTTTCCAAAGCTGAAGTTGCAAATCTGCCATTACTTAGCCTGTAGGAATGAGCCTTTTTTTTCTTGCCATAATAGTGGTAAAATCTGAAATATCATATGCCTTCAGAAAATATGCAGTGACATATTTTTAAATTTTTCATCATTTTATTTAAGCATCTGTGTGGTACTATTTCAAACTAAATAATCTTGGAACCTGATTATAACATGCTTTCATTAAAATATTATATTTAAGTACAGAAACTGTATAAATAAACCTCTATTAAGATTAATTCTGCTATCTTTATTTAGGCAAATGGCTCCTTAGTTGGTGTTTTGCTTGAATAAGTACAGGAATTTTTCCTTTGTTTTATTTTTATATGTTGTCAGACCAGAATTATTTTTATCTTGGACTGTTTTTCTCGTCTGTCATCTACATGTCAGAATACATATCATAATTTCTGCACTTACTCCACATTAACAGTTTGGTAGTTCATATGCTCAGGGAATTACAGTAATTATGAAGGCACTTGTTGTCTATAACATCTTTTTTCCTGTAAATTCTGCCACTCTTACTTGTTTGCCAGAATAAAGCTTACTTGGTAAACTATTATCAGATCACAAGTCTAATTTTAGAGTTTATCCCACGGGCAAAAGCAAATTTGTCTTACTAGGTTTGTTGAGATTTTTCTAAATGTTATCATTCATTTTACTATCAGTCTGTAGTGGAAAATAGCGGAAGATAAACATTACTGTGGTAATCCTGAAATATTATTAATTCCAGGCAGAAAAAAAAGGCCTAAAAAGGCCTACAGACTAGTGCAGATCTGCCTAAGTACAGTGTAGAACCACAAACTCTCATATTACAAAGAATTTTTCTTCAGTATGTCAGTATTATTACTGACCCTCAGTACCCTCAGTAGAAACAGTTGCTGATATCTAAAATATTTTTGAGAAGCAATACTAAAGTTTGCTAAAGGAGATCACACAGTATCATTCTGCAAATGTGGATTTCTGTGTCACGCACATTGTTAAGTAAGCATTAAACTGGGAAGTCAGCCTAATTTATGTACTGGCATTAGGCTATTCACAGAAACCACCAGTGACCCAGTTTTGGACTTACTGTGGAAAATGATGAAGATGAGCTGTGTTTTACTGTTGGCCAAGAGAACAGTTTGCATCTGTGGAATAACCTATTTTGTATATGCAGCTAAGTGAGTGCACCATTTTTAGCGAGGCCTTCGCAGCCAGGTCCAGCACTGACAACACAATCTCATCCAAACAGCTGCAACCATGAAGACATCGTGTAGCTGGCAGAATTTTTGTTGTATGTTTTGACTAAGAGAATGTCAGTAAATCCATCAGAAACCATGGAGTTGTTTGTTTTGTCTTCACCAGAGAGGTCTCTGGTGAAGTCATAAAGCTAAAAACCGCAGAATCCATAGTGTGAGATGCATCAGTAGGCTCTCCAGCCATGGAATTTGGATCTGTTAGCATGCTGTCCACTGTATGATTAGAGATCCGTATGTTAATGAAGCACTGATCAGAAAAGTTGGTTTTTTTTTTTTTTTTTTTGAGTGGATTTTTCTTGTAAAATAAAAATATCTTTGTGAAAGCAGGAAATAATGTCTCAGTCAAGAAACACTTTGTTTTTCCAGAATGCAAGTACTTTCTTAAATTGTAGTTACTGCCTTTTATAGACTACCTTTCTAGCCCCTGAATATATTACTCAACAGGCATCAGTCCCATCTCATATCATCTTTTACTGTAAGAGACTCACATTGTCTTAGACTTGATTATACTTTGTGCAATTCTCTTATATGCAGTGCACTGGAAAAAAGTGACAAATAGGCATTTAGACAGTAGGTAATGTAAGAGCGTTCATGCTGTGTAACACTGTTTTTGAAGGTGATTCACTTTTGAAGCTGAAATTTATAAATTTGCTTATTAGCAAATGCTTTTTTTTTGGTATTGTTTGTTTGTTTTCCCCTGGGAGTATGTGAGGAAAAAAAAAAAAGTCATTTTGGGGTTCTGGAATATTTTATCATTTTATGCTGCCAGTTCCTGTTTAGTTTAGAGATGAATAAAAAAGCAGCTAATCCCAATACCACATAACAAGCTCTCCTAATTAAGTTAATTTTGAGTAATTTTCATTCAGATCTTTTGTTTTTATTTAATTCAAATTAAACAATGCTTTTCACATTTAGTATTCTAAAAGTGAAACAAAATGAATCTTGTGATTTGGCATTTCAGCTGGGAAATTCTTAAGCTCAGGTTGCCCAGGCATCCAACACATGTGACAGTGGACATGTTACATTGCATTTCCTAGTCCACACATCCTAGTGTTGCTGCTGCAGTATGTTGTAAAGTGACTGCACAACATCTTGGAATTCCACTGAGTTAGATGTGTGCAGGATGCTCTGTACTGGTATAATGTCAGAAAGGTCAGATACCTCTAAACCTCCTATCTGTTAATGTAATGGAAATAGGCCTAATGGAATGAAATTCCTTGGCAAACAATTATTTCCTGACATAAAGTCCCTGAAAGACTTTTGCTAGTAGTTCAGCAAGGAGTCTAGCTCCTGATTTAATAAAAAAAACGGCTACCTGACCACATTCCTATATACATTCAACTCTCAGCAGAGTATTAGGAACATCTGTGTGAAAAAATGTGTGTCTGTCTTTTCTTTGTTAAATATACATCCTATTTATTCTGTCTCATAGATTTGTTTCTGTGTGTCTGTAGAAACATACGGTTATTTTTCATCCCTCAAAAATATAATAGAAAGGCAGCTTAGTGAATCTGACATTGCTGAAGTAACCAGTTTCTTCCATATTTGATTTCCAAAGTGTAAAGGTGTGTTGAGACTTGCAATAGCTGTGTAGACATCAAGTATAGTCCTGTTCACATAATTATATATCTTATAGTCATAGACATGCGTAAACATTTATGATCATACACTGTAAAACTTTATTGGCCTAAAAGAAAACTAATCCTTTGTGCATCGAAATCCAGATCTCATTGAAGTTAGCAGAGGCCTTCTTGCTAATATCACTGGAGTTAGCATTTCATGATGAGCTTGAAGAAAGAAGGAAAAATATTCTCAACCTATATTTCACTGCATTTTGGAGGTCTCCAAGTCCACTATATGTGTTGGTCCAGTGAGCAAACAAATACATACTAAAAAAATCCATCTTATGAAAATATCTTCTTAGCAGACTGTAAGTATTTGGAATAATTACACACTATCGCTTTTCTTTAAATAAGAATTTTTCTCAAAAAAAAAATAAAATCTCAGAAATAAGATTTGGGGTTCAATTGGGCTCTTGTACTAAAGTACTATTATTTTTCAAGAAGACTAAAAATAAATTATATAATGAAAACCACTGTACTTCTAAATGGCTTTAATATAAAATTATGAAATTTGAGAAATTCAGAAAAATGTTTGTTGTTAATGTGGGATACCACAGCTTTTTCAAAATAATAATTAAACCTTAAAGGAGGGATAGTTCATCTCTTTAAGATGTATCAGCTATATTTCACAACACTCACCGCTACGTGTTTTGTTTCACATCAGGTTTTCAACAAAAAACAGTACTTCAAAAAATACCTAAAGTTAAAATTTTCATATTTGTAGGCAGAAACTAATTATATCTTACATCTAAAGAGCAACTTTATTGCTAGACCTTCATTTATTTATTTTGAAAAATGAGACTTCTGAAATAAAAACAATTTTGTCTATTTTTCAGATATTCTCTAACTTTTGCAGCAAGTCTTTCAACATTTGGCTATATGATAGCTGTGATACCAGGTTGCTTTCCAAGATGTTTTCATTTTTTTATTTTTATTTTTTTCCATTAGCTACCATCTTTTAGGATGGAAAAAAAATCATCTCAGCTGTGCTAAGAACTACATAAAGAATAAAACTACTGCTTGGCTATTATTTTTGTGAATTGCATGGATGCATGTACAACTAAATCTACAATTCACATTTTCAGAACACCTCTCATGTATTTAGGAACAAATCATTGCGGAAGTATAAAAGGAGAATTTTCTTGCTATGTTATTCTTAAGCATGGGTCCTTGTCAGCCTGTGAAGTTTGCAGTGCTTGGTTACATGCATGAGGTCTGACTCATGTCACATCAGCGTACCAGTTTTATTGTTGTATGGCTGCACTAACAGTATGCCTATGCCTAATTTATATCAACATGCAGCGAGAATCAAATCTCACTTTAAATCAAGTACCAGGCAGAATACTAAGTGGTGAGATCATGTGGATTACATTTCAAAGTATAAGAAAGCCTTATATTGTGCTTTGAGTATGCTGCTGTAAATTGATGGCTTGACATAAGATCTGCAGGTATGTTTATGTATAAGTTTGGTTATGGCTCTACCAAGAAAGTTCATATGTTAATTTAACATCAACATTTGTACCTACTTTTCTGAATGTAAAATGTTAGCCAATGAGATAATAACAAAAATATCAATCTTTATTACTATTTGCTGACTTGGACTTACACCAAGCTGTTTCTGAAAGCAAGATCACAAATGTTTATTGCATCTCAGGAGACTGTTAGTGCCTTTGCAGGTTCAAAGTTGCTAGCTTTGCTCATAATTTAAGTGTAACATGAAATGTCATTTTTGTAAGCTAACAAAATAAATTATTTTTCCAAGCAGCACATAGCATCTGTATTCATTTACATAACACTGCCAAATTCATGTAAAAACCTGTTTTATGTAATTGTGGTTTTTTTGTTTGTTTGTTTGTTTTGGTGAAATCTATATGCTTGATATGGATTTAATTTGTTTGATTTTGGTTTTAGCCTGCTTCTGATACCAACAAAATGCTCCTGGATTTTTGATCTGTGTTTTCTTTTGTCTATTGTAAGATTTGCTTAAAAACTAAGATGGTAGTTTTGAGGTGAGACAATATTTTTCTTTAGAAGGGTGTGTTTAAAACATTTGTTAGATAAACATTTATTTAGATAAAAGATTTATTTGTCATTATGGTACAAAAATGAATTTGGCAACATGTAGTCTTACAATAGGAGTAGGTGTTTACATTGGCCATGAATCACCATGTTTTTTCAGAGGTGTCCTTGAATGGGACAAACCTCTTACCAAGCGTGAAAAGGATTCATTTGACTAAACTTGGGTTTGTACAGAATACATGCCTCTGTTTAAACAAACCTACCTTTGCAGTCAGCAGAGTACCCAGGACCTATGGCATGATTCATCTAGCCCCAAAGGAAATACTTAAGGCTTGATCAAATGAATTGCAGCCACCTGCACTAACAATGTTCACTAGATCTCCATTCGGAGAGAAAAAGGGAAACAAACATACTCAGATACTTTCAATGCATAGGCACTTAAATCAGGTGGGTTCTCTCCATGAGTGTTTCTTCTGGATTCCATGGTAAGTCCTTTACTGCCTTAAACAAAAGATCACTGAAATCAATTGGACTGGATGCATTTAAACTTTCAAAATGATTGAGCTATTACAGTATTTAATGGGGAAAAAAAATCATTGTTGCTGAAAAGTTCTATAGATCTAAATTTCTATGGAAACATTTAATGGAAAAGCAAAGCCTTGCATTATATTTTCAAATACAAAGTAAAACCAAAACTAAGATGATATGCATTACATTATTTTGCATACACATTGCATTGTTCCATATGAAGATATTTTCTCATTCTGGTTTCTCATGACTGACTGACTGACGGCCAAACTACACTTTCTTTATATCAGGAGAAATCACTCGTTGAAACCCTGTAATTACTTTATTAATTCAGTTCTCCTCAATTATGCATTCCCTTTCCTCTTGCAGTTAAGAGTTTTTGCTTGTCTTTTATATAGTTATGTGATCTGCAGGTGTTTTTTGTTTTTTGCTTTTTTTTGGTAGTTGTGTTTTGTTTTGTTTTTATGGCAAGCATCTCTTCTCAGACAATTTTTTTCTCTATCATCAGTAGGTAAATTCTAGTGTTACCTGAAAAACTAAAGTCAGTAAGGTTGACAAAGGAGTTGTTACTTGATGGTGTCCTGTAGTGATGTCAACTGAAATCATGAATTTACAAGTTTTCATACACACAAGCAATAAAGCCATAGGAGTAGTCACAGACACCACAGCAACAGCATCAAGGACAAATTTTACTGTGACTATCTTAGATGTTATTGGAGCAGAGAGATGCTGTTTTACAGCAATATGTTTTAAACACTTTCTTGCATTCAAGATGGTATTTCAAATGAACAATTTGTAACTGACATTAACTAATGGTATCTTGTAATGGGATTTTAAAAAGTAATTTTTGGCTCCAGCTCCTGCTACCCCACTGCTAATTTTATGGGGTTCTAGGGGTGGGTTGGCCTAAAGGGTATTGAGCTAGAATAACTCCCAGCTGAGATTATTTACAGTCTTCACTAGCATCCAAGATTTAACCTGGAACCTCTTGCCAAATTCCGGTTTAATTTGCTACATACTTTTTGTCTACCGTTTAGCACTTCACTGAGATATGGAATTCTTTTTTTGTATCAATGTTATATTTTATGCACTCCTGTTTTCTCTGGGAGGAAGGATAGAGTAGTCTAAAGTGATAGGGGCAGGGAAATAGAGAATCTGAATGGTATGAACTTAGACCTGTCCTATCCTACACTCTCTATACCTGACATAGGTATGTAATTTTTTTTTTGTCTCTCAGAGCTGATTTCTGGTGCACAGGGCTATTGATTTGGTTATAAAACTATAATGGTATTATATCTATGTTACATGTATAATCTATAATAAAATCTGTCATTATGTGTTTTGGTCCACATTTTTAATCATATTGCTTATATATAAATTATATGGTCTTGCAGTAGTACCATTATGGAGAAGGAGCTGCGGGTGTTGCATGTGGCTGTATATACAAGGTATATACACTGCAATTTCTTAAATATGGCATATTTACTGTGCTTTTATCAATTTCTTTGTGGTGTTCATTTCCAGTGGATGTCTCAGGCATGTACAAATCAACTAGAGTGTTCCTTATTTCCAACTGCAGCTTCTAATGAACATATTCAGAGCAAAGCAGTTATGTTACACTTTAAAATGTTTTTTAAGGGCACTTGTTAGTTGAAGTCACAGTTACTCCAGGAAGAACATGTTGTAATTTTGATGGCACTTTATAAGAATAAATAGTTACAAAAAGAATAATAAGTAGTATAGGATCTACAAGGGAAAAAAGAAAGAAAAGAAAGGCCAGGAACATCCGATAGAGTGTTTGCATTATTGTATCTCTTAGGAACTGGCCTAACTCCTGTCTCCCATTGTGTTAAATGCCACAAAGAGAAGAAATCTTATTACAGCTGTCTTAACTTTCAGAAGTAGACATGGGTAGCCAAGCTTTGTATTAGTTTGTTTCAGCTCACCTGTACTAAAGAATGGGTTATAGAATTGTCCCTGTTGGCAATAGGCATGGAAGGAAGGTAGTCAAAACTGCTGGCAGTTTTGGATGGAGATCAGCTTTAATTGGGGCATTCTTGTGTGCCTGGTCTGTGGAATTATGTACTGGCCTCATAAACTGTCCTACAGTAATGAGATCTATCTTCTTTGCCTCTGAAGGAGGAACCAGGCTACAGCTGCTAATGGAGGCTTCAGCCTGAGATCTGTCCTCCGACAACACAGCTCTGATAGCAGACAAATAACCTGCAGGCCTCTTTACCAATTAAAAACAAGAAATTTATTCTAGTCTCCTTTTGAATACGTTAATAACATGTGATCATTAGGTAGAACTGAAAACCAACAAATTTTGTCTGGAAAAGACCACCTGAAAAATGAAGCTTCAATGTTCACCACGGACAGGATACATATGAAGCCAGGTCAGTATCTCTGACACACTTGCACACTGCATTACAGCTCACACAAGATTTTTCAATGAATAAGGAAGGTGGGTTGATATAAAGAATGGGCCAATTGGCTTCGCTAATATTTCAGGGGTGGTGTCAGGAAAATGCACTTATCTTCCAGATGCTCCATCTAGCTGTAGGTCAATGGTGTGGATCTCACCTTATGCTTGTTTTGTGATTGAGGAAGCCACTGAAGTATGAAGTGGTATTTCTTCCTGACCTGCCCCTGTCTACCTCCTGGTGCCTCAAATTCAGTTAGGAACTAAACCAGAGTACAAGACTGGGTCTACAAAAGGTTCCTGGGAGATGTGAAATGAGAACAATAAGCAATGCTGAAAATTAAAATTTGGTTTTTATCTTGGGATCTGAGAATTACTCTGGAGCAATGTACAAATCAGTTAAATGTCAATTTTGTGATGACTTCCAAAAGGCAATGATAAAACATACTGCAGCACTTAGCACGGACTGCTGCAACCAACATCAGCAATAGAGACAGAACAAACTAAATCTGGCTTTACTAGAGTTGTTCCCAAAATTTCAACCCACATCCACCCTGTCTAGAAAAGCAGTGTTTTTCCTTTTGGCCTCATGTAAGTTCCATTTTGTGGTAGAAATTGTTGGATAAAAAACATTAGGACATCCACCAAATACAGATAAAATAAATCTCACCAACATAAATCAAGTTAGGAGAATAGTTTTTCAGATTTTATGGCTAGGTTTTGGGTCATCTTTTCAGAGTTCCTGAGAGTTGCTCTCTTGGCATTTCATCTGTTGATCTTACCTCAGGGCACATGCAACTTTCTATTTCCCAAAGCTTTTTGTCTTGTAATCCTTGTGCAATGGGTCATATTTGCTTTGTTTGTTTGAGTTTATATGACATGCTTCTTTAAAAAGAGACTGATGGGGTCAGGAACCTTCGGAAAAGGCAGGAAGACTTCTCCCCAAGGAGTAAGTGAATGCGCTCAGGGAGTTTTCATGAACATGGGGTGGGGTTTTCGGAGAGGGAGAGCTCAGCAAAAGGCGAAAGTAGGATGTTGCAGAGAGAAGCAGGGAACAGACACTGCCAAGCTGAAGAGGTGATGGAAATAAACATTTCTGGGGACTTAGAAGGACGGACTGTGCAGCATTTGCTGCAGCTCAGAAAATTGCCATGATGCTGGTCTGAGACCATGCCTAAAAAAATGGACTCATTTGTGGGCAGGAAGAAATTTGTTTGTAGACACTATCAATCTTACACTGTATTACTTAAAGAATTTAAGTTTTTTTTTTTTTTTAATTATTATTATTAATTATTTTTAGAAAGGATAGTTATTCTAATCTGTGTTCTGACAGGTTTTTTTTTTTTTTTTTTTTTTTTTTTTTCCACTGCTTCAAACCTTCATAGTCTTTGAGGGGGGAATTGGCCCTAAGCTGAGGGTTCACAGTGGTCCACGCGACATCCCTGGTTGTGTCTGGGCCCCATCATGCTGTCTCTTCACGCTCTTCAAAATTCCATCTCCTTTCAGAGCAGGTGAACTCCTGCACTGCTAATTACCCTTTTACATCAGGGTGTCAGTACCAAAGTCTCCAGCTCAACTGGTGTGTGCCTGTCTGTGTCTGTTCATTCTCTCATTCCTGTTTGTTATTTGTTAGCCATTCTAATCTGTCCCCCAGTTCTATTCCCTGCCTCCTGTTCTCAGCTGCAGCCTCTGACCTTGGTGGAGCCAGCTACTCTTCTTCCACCAGCAGTCAATTAACTAATCACAAGTTGATTAGAGATTTTTTTCTTCTTTCACAAGTTGATTAGAGTTTTTTGTT